ATTTCAGGCATAGTGATTGGCTTTTAAAATTCTTTTTTTTTTTTTTTTTGAGAGGGAGTCTCACTGTGTCACCTAGGCTGGAGTGCAGTGGGATGATTTCAGCTCTTTGCAACCTCCACCTCTGAGGTTTGAGTGATTCTCTTGCCTCAGCCTCCCAAGTAGCTGGGATTACAGGCACCTGCCACCATGCCCAGCTAATTTTTGTATTAAAATTCTTTGTCCTTAAACAAATTAACAATGTAAACAAACAGCTTAAATAATGAAGCAGAACAAAAAATGAAAATTTGATTTGAAGTTCACTCCTTCCCTAAACTTCCTTCTCCAGAAGTGTATCTAAACCAGACCGAATTTGCAGACTGGCTTGTATCCTTCCACATGCTTTCCCATCCCTTCGTGAACACCAAAAGATGTGTAAAAAGGATTTCCTCCCATTATATGGAGTTACAAATTTTCTGACTTTTTTTTCATAGAACTATATCATAGCTAGCTTTCTATACCACCACATACATCTACCTTATTTATTTATTTAGCGAAACAGTCTTGCTCTGTCATCCAGGCCAGCGTGCAATGGCATAATCTCAGTTCACTGCAACCTCCGCCTCCTGGTTTAAGCTCGTGCCTCAGCCTCTCGAGTAGCTGGCGTTACAGGTGAGCACCACCATGCCTGGCTGATTTTTTTTTTTTTTTTTTTGTATATTTAGTAGAGGATTTTGTATATTTTGCCATGTTGGCCAGGCTGGTCTTGAAATCCTGGCCTCAAGTGATCTGCCCGCCTTGGCCTCCCACAATTACAGACATGAGCCACCCACCTTATTCTCTTTGATTGCCATGTGGTACTTCTTAGTTTGCAGGTATAGTGCCCTAATTTTTTTCATTCATTTTCCTTTTGTTGGACTTTTAAGTTGCTTCTGGGTTTTGTGTTACAAATACTGCTACAGTGAGCATTCTCATGTACACATCTTTGAGTTCCTTGGTTGCTACAGTGGGGTGAGTTCCTAGAAGTGGAATTGCTACTAGACCAGCCTGGGCAACATAGTGAGATCCTGACTGTTAAATTTAAAAAATTATTAATTTATTATTAATTTTAATTAATTATTAATTTTCTGGCTTAATTGTTTTCCAAAAAGAGTGTACCTGTAGTACTCCCACTTGGCGTGAATGAGAGTGATTGTTTTCCACACCCTCACTAACACTGGATGTTATCATCTGTGTTTTTGCCAGTTTGCTAGTTAAGTGAGCTTCCCAAACAGATGTGGCATTCACTCAACAGTGGCTCTGGGTGGCCCTTAGAATAAGTGCATGCTTAGTTTTGAGGTCAGAAGCAAACAGTGCTCACTTCTGAAGGCACTTGGTCTCCTCAGCCTGAGTTCAGCTCTCCTTAGGCTGAGGCGGGAACAGGCAGGGAGTGGGGGTCATTGCTAGTTGAGGGTCTCCCCAGCTCCCCCACTCTTGGTGGTGCTGCAACAGTGACCCTGCAGAGGGAGCTCTTACTTCCTGGTTGCCTTGTAATTTACTGAATTCCTATTGTTAGATTCCAAGGTTTTACTTTTTTCCCCACTATTAAATAATACTCTGATGCTCATTGCGCATTCACTCATCAAACACATTTATATTAAATGCCTATTATGTGCCAGGCCTTAGCATCTTTATATACGTAGCTTTTTCCCACATTTTGGGTAAATTTATGCATGACAGGCTCTGGGGGCACTTTGAGTTCAAGGGTGTGATTTGAGGGTAGGTGTATGGGGTTGGGTGGGGTGGGGGCACTGTGAGCAGAGCAGCTGTCACTGCCATGCAGCTGATGAGTCAAGAAGGATGTGTACCCCTAAGACAGAGGTTATGTAAGTGTTATGCAGACTGTGCTGGGTGTTAGATACACTATCCTTCCCCTCTGAGCTTCCAGTATGGGCTAGATTTTCATTCCTTAGCTGGAATGGGGATTGCATAATTTGTTCAAGGTCAGCCAAGGAAAGGTTGGGTAGGTAGACTGGCAGGCTGTGGAGGGGAACCAGGCTCTTCTGTCTCCTAGTGTGAATTGCTGGTTCTCAAAGCCATCAGTGACTACAGGTAGGTCTGCTCAGCCCAGTCCTACCCAGCCCTCTGTTTCCTACCAACCAGTTGAAATGAAGCCCCCACACTCAGCCCTGAAGCCGTCACTCCAGCAGAGAGGCTGTGGTTCTGTCTTTCCCAGGACACCCTCTGACTTCTGTCTGTCCAGTGCTGGCTGCTTTGCCGATGCCAGATGGCCCTGCTTCATGCGCAGCCTCTAGAGGCTCTGCTTGTGAAGGCCCCTGTGGGGTGGATGCTGCAGAGACAGCTGTGTGTCAGTAGCCAACTGTACAGACTGTGATTTGGAACAGATCCGGGGAAGGAGTGGCTGGGAGGGGCCAGGGCCAAGGTTCAGCCTTCAAGTCAGTGCCCTGGCAGGGTGTTAATGAAAGCACATTGCCGACTTTTCTTTCCTCCAGTCCTCACCTTTAGAAAACTAATACAGATTATTATTTCTACCATAAGATTGTCTCTGAAATGGGTTTGAGAGCTGTGTAAAAATGGGCATTTTGGGGGTGCTGTTTGTAGCTGAAAGAAAGCTGAACTGCAGGGAGTGGCAGAGCTGTCTCAGGCCTTCCTTAGTGCTGTCAGATCAGTGTAGCAGGGGATGGGCCAAAGTGCACACAAAGCAGGAGTGGAAGCTACCACTCCCTGGCAGTTGGGCGCCTTTAGTGAAAGGGTGAGTCAGCCTCTAGCTGTCCTTGGTGGTATCCCCTCAGGCCCAGGAGTGTACTTGATTCCATTCAGCCAGTGGTATCTGTGCGTTTTCCCTGCCAGGTGCTGTGCTGGGGAGAATGCTTACCTGGGGACCCAGAAGGGAGAGATTATGCTTCATCGTCTGTATTCAAGGAGATGGGGAAGAGAGCATGACCCACAGATGAGAAAGCCAGCCTCCAGCATGGTCACAGTGAGGCGTTGGATAAGGATATGTTTTAGGGAACCAGCAAGTTCACTTGTGTGCTGTTGGTACCAACTGTATGAAAATGTGTGGTACCCCACAGCCCCAGAAGAGCCTGGCCATGTCAGAGCTGCTAGAGGCCCCAGGTGGGGTCCTGCCTGCTCTTCTGAGCTCTGCTCTCTGATTACCTTGTCCTTGGTTGGTAATCTCCTTAGTGGCCTTGTACTTTAGGCTGATGTTTGCTGTGGGTGGGGTGCTTTTTGACTGGTGGCTGTGCTTGTTGGGTTTTGGGGATTAGCGATGGGAGAGGGCATTTGGGGAACATTAAATGGATGAGTATTCTGCCTTTATCCTGAGCGGGGATATCCTGAGCAGATGTGAAGGCTACTGTGTCTGGGAGGTGTCTCTTCTGTGGGATCAGGGGAGAATTGTGGGGAAGGCTCTGGCTCCTAAGGTCCAGGGAAGTCTTAACTGACCTACAGATATTATGACTGGACTGCTTCTCCTTCTGCCTCCCCAACCCCCTCTCCTGGCTGAGTTTGTGGCTCAGCTGGGAGGGGTAGCACTGAAGCGGGGTGTTTGGTCCACTGATGGCTTGTTAATCCTCTCAGGTGGAGAATGTTCTGGGCCCTTTGCTGGTATGTTCTGTATCTGCCCTGGGTTACCTTGCCTCAGATTTCAATCCAGAGTTGTTTTCCTAGGAAGGGGTCAGGCAAAGGGTATTTCTTAAGGATCTGGTGGGTGGTTTCCTGGTCTATCCCTGGGGTGGATGTACCTACAGGGTGAGTTTGGGAGGGGGGAACACGTAGGGAGAAGGAAGGCCCCAGACTTGAAAGAGCCAGTGGCGGGCAGTGTGAAATGGATCATCCCCCCTCATCTCTCTACCCTGATCCTAATGTGAGCTGACCTGCCCATGGTTCCAGCCCGATCATGTGCAAGAAATAACACAGCAGTGACAAAAATAGGACAGAGTCAACAGCTTGCTCCTCTTCTGTGCTCTGACACAAAAGTGAGCTGGGATAAAATTAACAAAGCATCTGGAAAAAGGAAAGTAGGACCTGGATCACAGCTTCACAATTTAAAATTGTAGAAGTTTATACTGTTTCTTTTACAACATACTCAGTGAGTCTGTGGCCTCCTGCAATGCCTTTGCAGTTAAAGCCTTGCTCAAGAATGCAACTTCATTTGTGATATTGTTCCCTTGGGATCATTGGAACCCCTTTTTAGTGGGCTCCCTCCCACTAGCCAGGAGCAAGTCATGCATGTGTTTATTTGTGTGAGTAAATATACATGTAACTTCAGATGGTGTATATGCAGATGCATTTGATAATTCAGGTATACTATATTTTAAAAATGAATGGAACGATCCTTCTGGTTAGTTGAGACTAATGATTCTAGGGATGGAGAAGGTACAGGAGATGAGGCTTTCTCACACATGACCCCCTCTCCTCCTGGGCAGAGCACACAGTATACAGTCCCAGATTAGGATTTTAATCCTGTGTACACAGCATATACAGCATGCCAAAGCAAAGGCTTCCAGGGATGCAGTGTGGTCCTTAGGGCAAAGACTATTTGAGTTGCTCTCCTTCCTTGAACACTGAGGTGCTTAATAAATGTTTATTGATTGACTTAGTGATATGTAGCAATCCCAAGTAGTCCTTTGATGGTTGGTTTTTAAAATAAAGTCATACTGGAGCTTAATAAATGTTTAATTTATTTGGAGGAAGTAGTTGGGTTTTTTCCATGTGAAGAGCTGCCACATTGGTTAGGTTTTACTGTATTATCTGTTAGAAATATGAAGTGGGTTCCCATAAAGTCCAAAAGTTTTGGGAGAAATTGGGTCCATCCTGGCATATAGTAGGTACTCCATAAATATTTGTTGAATGAATGAAATCAGAGCCACATGGAAAATGGTGTTTCCAAGAAAAGCTCTGATTTCTGTTTGGTGCATTTAATGTCCTAGTAGCTGATATTTTGTAAGAGGATATGTTTTATTGGCAAGAGTCCTGCAATTCAGTACAGTCACTGGCTCATGGGTATGTGTCTTTGACAGTTTATTCATTAAGCAAATATTTCCTGACTCCTGCTATGTTCTGGGCCTGGGCTCAGTCCTGAGGATGCTGAGGAGGAGAGGTCTAACGTGTTGATCCTCCTTCAACAAAGACTCATTGAATGCCTCAAGCTCTGGCCACAAAATGAAGGACAAGACAGTGAAGGCTTCTTGGCCCACACCTGGGAGGATAAGCTACCTGGAAGTCTTAGTGCTAGGTGATTTCTATTGGTTGCTAATTATATCTAATAATTTTTACTGATGGAAAACTTCATTTCCCTAATTCCCAATGTATTTATTCTGGTGATTCTTTTATCGTAGCAGAAGATGGCTGTGCCACCCACGTATGCCGATCTTGGCAAATCTGCCAGGGATGTCTTCACCAAGGGCTATGGTGAGTGTTGCAGAGAGGGGGTGCCTTTCAGCTAACAGACCAAGTTGGCATGTTTGATACTTGACCGATAACTGTTTAGGAGACCTGGGTAGGTCAGGTGTTCAGAACTTTCATGTGAGGGAAAGAAGAAGCCGCCTGTAGTGAGTGAAGCAGTTTTGGTTCTGCACCTAGTTGGACGGGCTCCCGCATTGGTGCTGTCAAGTGGATATTCTTGTTTTCTTTTCCAAGTGTGGAGCAGCCCTGTGGAAGCTGCTGCAGTGGAGCGCGGCTTCTATATTTAGCCTGTGCTTAGGCACATGCCCACGAGGCCCTGTGACCGAGTCTGCCAGCTGTCAGGTGTCTTCTTCTCAGTCCTTGCTGGGAGTGCAGGTGGGGCCCAGGTGGGCCTGTGCCCATTCTGTCTGCTGCTGTTCTGTGGCAGCTGAGCTCTTCACATGAGCAACAGCAGAGACTGGGTGCTCTCAGCCCTTGTGGCAGGAGCGTGCTTCTTTTAAAAAAGCATTTTGAAGCAACCGTGAGGGAGGCAGAGATGCTGTTCTCTAGTTAGTTATTTAACCTATTAAAAGTTACCTTTTCTTTCTTTAGGATTTGGCTTAATAAAGCTTGATTTGAAAACAAAATCTGAGAATGGATTGGTAAGTAGTCCAACCCACGTGGAACATTAGCATTTATTTTTTTTTTAAGAAGATTTTAGATTCAGGGGGTACATGTGCAGGTTTGTTATATGAATGTATTGTGTAATGGTGAGGTTTGGGCATCTAGTGTACCCATTACCCAAATAGCGACCATTGTATGGAACATGGGTATTTGTTGTAGATCAGAAATAATTGTCATGACCTGGCTGGCAAACCCAAAAGAAGGTATTAAAAAAAAAAATTCTGGCAGTTTATGGTTGTCACATTCAGTGCATCCTCTACATGATGGGTGGTCCAGGGGAACCATGCCAATAGGCCCCCAATTCAGCAGTGGGTAATACTCAGAGGAGAATGGGGGCAGGTCTCAGTTTTAGTTTTCCTTATGCTTCTTATTTTCAAATTCACCTGTGTTCAACCACGTAAGAGTTTTTAACGTAATCTTAGTAGTCCCTTCTAGATTGTGAATGCAATAATTGTTGGAAGGAAGAAGTTTCTTTGGCTCAATGCTTTTTCTCTATACCGGGCTGGAGCCAAGATAGAAGGGTGATGCTTTCCTGTCCAGACTGAAGAGTTACGGGGAGGAAGGAAGCTGTCTGCTGACCATGAATTCCCTATAAGATTTCTTTACATAGTAGGCTCCTTGACTCCCATCTGTACTTTAAATATCTATTTGAATTGTAGAGTTAGCCTTTGCTTGCGCCTCCCCCCTCCCCCGATTCAGGGCAGAAAGGCAAGTATAGTTGGTAAGGAGTGGAGTGAAGTCATTGAGTGCTGTGGTGCAGTCTGTGCCTCTCTCTCTCCTTTGAAGGAATTTACAAGCTCAGGCTCAGCCAACACTGAGACCACCAAAGTGACGGGCAGTCTGGAAACCAAGTACAGATGGACTGAGTACGGCCTGACGTTTACGGAGAAATGGAACACCGACAATACACTAGGCACTGAGATTACCTTGGAAGATCAGGTAATGGCTACTGTGAAAAGATGCGGACTTATTAATTCACATCTGCTGGCCTGCCTTGTGACTAAACCTACTGGCAAATTTCTTTTCTGTTCAGCTTGCACGTGGACTGAAGCTGACTTTCGATTCATCCTTCTCACCTAACACTGGGTAAGATTCTCCTCCTTCTTCTCCACAAGGATGTTCTCTGATGTTGCAGGTGGTGGAAGCCCTCTGTGACAAAATGTTTTGGGGGCTGATAATAACTAAAATATGGTCTCCAAGACCTGATGATTTAAGTCCTCTGGTTTTCATTTGGTCCCAGGGGACGTATCCACATATACGCATTAACAGACTATGCTATAATGAGTACTTCCTAATTCAGGATTGGTATTTACCCAATGAAGTGCCACCTATGCTTGGCCCTGTGCCCATCTGGGGATCCAAGGGTGCCCAGGCCATGACTGTTACCCCTCAAGGAGCTCACTTTCTAATATAGGATTTGGACCAGTGTTTAGCACTGTTTTGTAGTAAGATCCTGCATTATGTTAGTGTTCTCCTGGCTTCAGCCATGGAGGCTGCAGGATTTCTGGTTCACTAATAGCCATTTCATGTGAGTTAGGCTGCTGGTGATGTAAGTGGCCATGGCCAAAGGGCAGTGGGTGACATTTGGAAGCAGAACCTAACTGGTCACTGTTTCCAGCCTCGTTTCTTCAGGCGTGGAGGCCCTTCTCCCAGCTTACTGCTTAGGGACACTGAGACCCTGTGGGTTTAACTGCAGGGTGGCTCCTGAGGCTGCACTTTCCCCAGGTCTTCTGGCCACAGATTTATTAGGCTTGTTAGTTCTTGACCTATCAGCTGGCAAGCTAGCATTTTGGTCTGCCTCAACTCCTGGGTGCTTTTCAGAGTACCTAGAAGGAATCATTCTTTTTTAGAGTACACCTTTGGATTTTTCCACTCAGATTGGTAGGTCTTCTAAACCTGGGGAAGGTTGTTTTGTATACTGATGATGGGATCAAAGGCATGTACTGAATTTCAATTTTTAAAAGTTGTAGTAAGGGGTCAGGTGAGTAGCTCCCACCTGTAATCCCATCACTTTAGGAGCCTGAGATGGGTGGTTCGCTTGAGTTTGAGACCAGCCTGGGCAACATGGTGAAACCCCATCTTTAATAAAAATACAAAAATTAGCCAGGCATGGTGGTACGTGCCTGTAGTCTCAGCTACCTGGGAGGCTGAGGCACAAGGATCACTTGAACCTAGGATGCAAAGGTTGCAGTGAGCTGAGATAGTGCCACTGCACTCCAGCCTGGGCTACAGAGAGAGACTCTGTCTCAAAAAAAAAAAAATGTGGTAGGGTATACATATACAGCTTAGTATCTTTAAGTGTGTAGTTAAATGGCATTATGAATTTTTCAGTTTTGCCATTTCATATAATTTTTTTTCTCTCTTTTTTCCTTTTCAACAAATATTTATAAGAAGGAGGATCTACCAAGTCCAGACCTGTGCTGGGTGTGTGGTGCCCACAAGTGACTGGGCACACAAGGTTCCTACCCTCTAGAGATGTCTTTTTATAGCCTGGCTGTAGATGATCTGAAGAGACCATTGACTGGGGGCTGATTTACTCCTGTTCCTCCTCTTTGCTGCAGCTTCTCCTGTCAGAAGCACTGCCTTCTTGGAATGCTTGTGCACTTCCCCCCAGGAACCCTGTCATGATATCAGGAAGTTCTCCAGAGAGATTCTGCCTCCCTGGCTCAAGGGATCCTCCTTCCTCAGCCTCTCCAGGAGCTGGGACTACAGGTGTCTGCCATCACCCCTGGCTGATTTTTATATTTTTGATAGAGACAGTGTTTCACCATGTTGCTCAGGCTGGTCTTGAACTCCTGAGCTCAAGTGATCTGCCCACCTTGGCTTCCCAAAATGTTGGGGTTATAGATGTGAGCCACCACACGCACTTTCAAATGGTAATTTTCTATTGCCATCCTTCCTTAACTTGTTAATTGAGTTTCTACTGTAAGGGTGAGCTCTTCCTTCTTCCCCATGTATTTATTCAATCAGTTATTTATTTGTGTTTATTTAGGTGCATGGACATTTACTCTATGGGCAATAATCCATACTGTCATTTATTTTGTTGCTCAAATTGTCCCAGATATGGCCATTAGGAGAATATATCCTGTGTGCTTTTTGACTAATCTCTGTCATTTTTCAGAGCATGTCTTTATTTCTGGTTTCAGAAAGTGTACCATGCTTATCTAGTACTTGTTTTTCCCCAGTCCTGCCATCTACCATTTCTTCAAGGAGCTTTGGTTCTTTTTTTTTTTTTTAATTCTTTTTCTTTTCTTTCTGTAATTTTTCATTTTTAGAGATGGGGTTTCACCATTTTTGCCAGGATGGTCTCGATCTCCTGACCTCGTGATCACCCTGCCTTGGCCTCCCAAAGTGGATTATGGGCGTGAGTCACTGCGCCCGGCAGAGCCTTGGTTCTTTATGTTGGAGAATGGTGTTTAGAAGCTAAGATTGTGGATGCTAGGTGTACATATTGCTACTGGGTATTTGGGGAAAGTTCTGATGATGTATGATGGAGATTAGAAATGAAAGCTGGCTTTCCAAAGTGACTGAAGGTACAGCCTCAGAAAACACCTGGCTCCCAGGATGAGCTGAGTGTAGACCACATCTGGATGAGGCTGCAGACCTCAATAAGAACCAGCAGTCACCACTGGGTGTCTACCACAAATAAATACTGCTTGTTAACCACAAATCAGTCAGGCCTCTCTCGGGTGCTTGTCAAATTAGCACTACTGTTGAAATTGCTTAAAAATAAATCCCAGTGGCTGGGTACAGTGGCTCCCGCCTGTAATCCCAGCACTTTGGGAGATGGAGGTAGGTGGATCACGAGGTCAGGAGTTCAAGACCAGCCTGGCCAACATGGTGAAACCCGTCTCTACTAAAAGTACGAAAATTAGCCAGGCACGATGGCAGGCAACTGTAATCTCAGCTACTAGGAAGGCTAAGGCAGAATTGCTTGAACCTAGGCAGCAGAGGTTGCAGTGAGCTGAGATCGCACCACTGCGCTACAGCCTGGGTGATGGAGTGAGACTCTGTCTCAAAACAAAACAAAACAAAATCCCAGGAATGTCTGAAAGAGGAAGACTGCACAGACATGGTTTGCAGTGTTAGAAAGAGAACTGGAGAAAAGCCTGAGCCCAGCACTGCTGTTTCTCTGGGGGATCCTGTGTCCTGGCCAGAATCCAATGAGACTGGGTGGGGGTGCCATGTAAACTGGTATAGGTGGTACACACCACTGGTCAGAGGCCCTGCCATGGGCATCATACTTTGTGATCAGCAGCACTTTTTATTAAAAATAAGAAAGGAGGTGGTTAGAAGATGCTGATTTTATATTTCTTGATCTTCTTCCCTTTCTAAATGTCAACTTCTCAACAGCTGTCTAATCATAAGTCATCCCATCAAGTCTGGTGCCAATCAGATACTTGGCCAAAACCCAGGCTTCTTTCACTGAAGAGCAGGCAAATGAAGATAGGTTTCTTTTTCTTTTTTCTTGAGAGTCTTGAGCTCTGTTGCCCAGGCTGGAGTGCAGTGACTTGATTTCAGCTCACTACAATCTCCACTTCCCGGGTTCAAGCAATTCTCATGCCTCAGCCTCCTGAATAGTTGGGATTGCAGGCACATGCCACCATGTCCTGCTAATTTTTGTATTTTTGGTAGAGACAGGGTTTTGCCATGTTGCCCAGGCTGGTCTCAAACTCCTGACCTCAAGTGATCTGCCCTCCTTGGAATGTTGGGATTACAGGTGTGAGCCACTGTGCCTGACCGGTTTTGAATTTTTCTTATTGAAAGATAATTTGTTTGGTCATTAATCTTTTCCTTCAAAGCTTGCCAAAATGTATAGAAGTAACTTGAACCAAGTTGAGGTTCCAAGGCATAAGTTTCATTGTCACTTGTTCTGCTGGTGAGCAGGGTTTGTGCACCTACCCTCAACTGCTGAGGGAGCTGAGCGACCAAAGAAAGAGACTGACAAATCCAGTTTCTTAGAAACATTTAATAGGGACTTACAAATGGACGTGATGTATCAGGCAGCCAAGAGACAGTAGATCCCTGTACTCATCCTTCGGAAAGTATTCTTTATTTTTATTTTTTATTTTATTTTTGAGATGGAGTTTTATTCTTTTTGCCCAAGTTGGAGTCCAATGGTGTGATCTCAGCTCACCTCAACCTTCACCATGCCCGGCTAATTTTGTATTTTTAGTAGAGATGGGGTTTCTTCATGTTGGTCAGGCTGGTCTCCATCTCCTGACCACAGGTGATTTGCCTGCCTCAGCCTTTCAAAATGTTGGGATTACAGGTGTGAGCCACCATGCCCACCCCCTCAGAAAGTATTCTTTATATAGCAAGCTTATTTATTTAGTTTTATTTATGAGATGAAGCTTCACTGCTGCCTCCCGGGTTCAAGCAATTCTCTTGCCTCAGCCTCCAGGGTAGCTGAGATCACAGGCATGGGCATGCGCTACCACGCCTGGCTAATTTTGTATTTTTAGTAGAGATGGGGTTTCTCTGTGTTGGTCAGGCTGGTCTCTAAGTCCCAACCTCAGGTGATCCACCTGCCTCGGCTTCCCAGAGTGCTGGGATTACAGGTGTGAGCTGCTATGACCAGCCATAGCAAGCTTTTAGAGTAAAGATGTGTGAATATCTTAGACTATCTTGCAAAAAACTCTTGCAAAACTTGTGACCACAGGGAGGTTAAATAAGCATCTTTCCTTTTTTTTTTTTTTTTTTTTTGAAAACGAGACTCACTCTATCACACAGTGTTACCCAGGCTGGATTGCAGAGGTGTGATCTTGGCTCACTGCAACCTCTGCCTCCCAGGTTCAAGTGGCTTTCCTGCCTCAGCCTCTTTCAGGTGCATGCCACCACACCCAGCTAATTTTGTTATTTTTAGTAGAGATGGAGTTTTGCCGTGTTGGCCAGGTTGGTTGAACTCCTGACCTCAAGTTACTCACCTACCTTGGCCTCCAAAAGTGTTGGGATTACAGGCGTGAACCACTGTGCCTGGCCGGCATTGCTTCTTTTATGAGATTGTCTATGATGCATTCCTTGGTTGTCATGGCTGTATTAGGCTGTTTCTTCATTGCTGTGAAGAAATACCTGGCCAGGTGTGGTGACTCATGCCTGTAATCCCAGCATTTTGAGAGAGTGAGGCAGGTAGATTGCTTGAGCCCAGGAGTTGGATACTAGCCTAGGCAACATGGTTAAATTCTATCTCTGAACACAGACATACACACACACACACACACACACTCTCTCTCTCTCTCTCTCTCTCTCCCTCTGTCTTTCTGTCTCTCTCTCACTCTGGCTGGGCATGGTGGTGTGCACATCTCTAAGCACACACACACATACACACCCCTACACACACTAGCTGGGCATAGTGATGCACACCTATAGTCAGTTCCAGCTACCTGAGCTCAGGAGGTAGGGACTGTAGTGAGCCATGATCACACTACTGCACTCTAGCCTGGACAACAGAGTGAGACCTTGTCTCAAAAAAAGAAAAAAGAAGTATCTGAGGATAGGTAATTTATAAAGAAAAGAGGTTAAATTGGCTCATGGTTCTACAGGCTGTACACGCATAGCACAGGCATCTGCTTGGCTTCTGGGAAGGCTTCAGGAAGCTTTAAGTCATGGCAGTTGATGAAGCAAGAGCAGGCACATCTCATGGCAAGAGCCAGGAGTAAGAGAGGGTGGTGGGGAGGTGCCACATGCAAACACCCAGACCTCATGATAACTCACTTATTATTGTAAGGACAGCACCAATCCATGAGGGATTCACCCCTATGATCTAATCACCTCCCAGCGGGTCCAACACTGGGGACTGCATTTTAACATGAGATTTAGAGGGTACAACAGCCAAACCGTATCAATGGCGGTTTTGCTTTAAGATGGTATCACTCTTGCCACGCAGCAGGCTTTTCTTCCATCACTTGGGAAGGGCGCTGGCTTTCTTTTTTTTTTTTTAACCTGCAATTACTTTTACAATATGTTCAATTGTGACCTCTGAAATTCTTGTCTCATAGAGAATTTGAAATGTTTAATCTTTATTTTTTTTAATGAGAAATCTCAAACATACAAAAATATACAGAAAAATATATTTAACCCTCATTCTATTCCTGTCACCCAGCTTTGATAGTTACCAACCTATAGTGGCCAATCATGTTTTATTTATACAGCCATAAGTATAACACTCCTCCATGCCCATATTATTTTAAGTAAATAACAACACATAATTCCATCTGTAAATATTTTGTTATGTATCTTTAAATGGCAAGATTCCTTTTTAAAGGAGCATAACTATGGTATTATTATATTGGAAAAAGTTGATCATTTCTTAATATCGTCAAATATCTAGTCTGTTCAGATTTACATGATTGTTTCATGATTTTTAAAAATAGAATAAAAAATTGTCCAGGGCCATGGGTGGATCACTTGAGGCCAGGAGTTCGAGACCAGCCTGGCCAACATGGCAAAAACTCGTCTCTACTACAGATAAATAATTAGCTGGGTGTAGTGGTGCATGCCTGTAATCCCAGCTACTTGGGAGACGGAGGCACGAGAATCGCTTGAACCTGGGAAGCACAGGTTGCAGTGAGCCGAGATTGTGCTGCTGTACTCCAGCCTTGGTGACAGAGTGAGACCTTGTCTCAAAAAAAAAAAAAAAATTGGCCAGGTGAGGTGGCTCACACGAGTAATCCCAGCACTTTACTGGGATCCGCCTGAGGCAGGCAGATCACAAGGTCAGGAGTTCAAGGCCAGTCTGGCCAACATGGTGAAACCCTGTCTGTACTAAAAATACAAAAATTAGCCAGGTGTGGTGGCTGGCACCTGTAGTCCTAACTACTTGGGAGGCTGAGGCAGGATAATTACTTGAACCTGGGAGGTGGAGGTTGCAGTGAGCTGCGACCACTCCACTGTGCTTCAGCCTGGATGTCAGAGTAAGACTCCATCTCAAAAAAAAAATTGTCTAGGTAAAATTAGGGAAATAAATTAATATGGCTCCTATATTTCTTAATTTTCAAATTCTCCTTGTCTTTTTTCCCTCTTGCCATTTATTTGTTGAAGCTAGATTGTTGTCCTATAGAGTTACATATACCCTGATTTTACTGTTTGTATTTCAATGGTGTCATTTAAGTTGTTCCCTGTCTCCCATTTTCTGTGAATTGGTAAGTCTAAAGAATTTGTCACATTTAATTCCTGTTATGGGGGGTAGGTCCTAAAACATAGGTGGTGCTGTATGCTGCCAGTGGGATGTACAGGTGGTTTTCTATTTGTATGATGTTAGTGCCATTCATGATCCAGTAACTCATTAGATTACAAAATGGTGGTAATTTGTCTTTTAAAATTTCTTCTTTACTTATTAGCTGGAATATTTCCATAAAGGGAAACGTCTCATCAACTATTTGGTTATTTGAGGTATAGTTAGTATAGGACAGATGGAATAAATGTTTGATTCCTTATTTGCTTGTTTGTTTGTTTTGAGTTGGAGTCTTGCTCTGTTGCCCAGGCTGGAATGCAGAGGCATGACCTCGGCTCACCATAACCTCCGCCTCTGGGGTTCAAGCGATTATATTTTTGGTAGAGACAAGTTTTCACCATATTGGCCAGGCTGGTCTCAAACTCCTGACCTCATGATCCACCTTTCTCGGCCTCCCAAAGTGTTGGGATTACAGGCGTGAGCCACTGCACCCAGCCTATTTGCTGTTTTTATTTATTTATTTGGGACAGAGTCTGGCTCCACAGTGTGGCCCTGGCTGGAGTACAGTGGCACAATCTCAGCTCACTGCAACATCTGCCTCCTGAGTTCAAGCGATTCTCCTGCCTCAGCCTCCTGCGTAGCTGGGACTACAGGCACGTGCCACCACGCCCAGCTAATTTTGGTATTTTTAGTAGAGACAAGATTTTGCCATGTTGCCAGTCTGGCCTTGAACTCCTGACCTCAGGTGATCCAACCACCTTGGCCTCCCAAAGTGTTGGGATTACAGGCATGAGCCACCACACTCGGTCTATTTGCTGTTTTTAGATAACAGCTTGGTTCTGTAGTCTCAAAAGATGACGGCTCTGTGATTTGTGTGTTGCTTTAATTCTTTTTTTTTCAATCTGAGACGGAGTCTTACTCTGTTGCCCAGGCTGGAGTGCAGTGCTGTGGTCTCAGCTCACTGCAGCCTCTGCCTCCTGGGTTCAAGTGATTCTCCTGCCTCAGCCTCCTGAGTAGTTGGGATTATAGGCGTCCATCACCATGCCTGGCTAGTTTTTGTATTTTTAGTAGAGACGGTTTTACTATGTTGGCCAGGCTGGTCTCAAACTCCTGACTTCGTGATTTACCCACCTCGGCCTCCCAGAGTGCTAGGATTACAGGCATGAGCCACTGCGCCTGGCGCCGAGTGTCATTATTATTCATAGAATAAACATATTGTTTAACATATTTCAGCTTATTGCTGATGTTTTTCTTATTGAGGCTCACATTGCTCTGTTGCTGAAACCCTTGGGAGCCTCTTCAGGTTAGCTTATAAGTCCTTTTGCCTCAACCCCAGAAGTCTTCAGTAGCTTCGATAGATGCTTTAGGTCACTGTGTACATTTCCTGCCTAAGATCTGTAGTTGGCCATTTCTCCAAGGAGCACTGGTTTCTTTCAGGAGGAGAACTGGTCTAGGTGCTGAGGATGAAGCGTTAATCTCAATGTGAATAAAGCTAGGAGTGAACAGTGCTGTGTAGTCCTTGGGGCTCTGAGTGGATCTGGTTCCTCCTATGGACTCTGCTGACAATGCAGCTTGCTGTGGGAGATGTCTATCTTGTAACTGAATGATAGAAACAATCAGATAAAAATGGTCCCTGTTTTATTTGATCAATGTAATCTTGCTCTCCAGTGTTTACTTTTGGTAAAATACATGGTAATAATATGTCTGCAGGTGTCACTAGTCACCTGCTCTTCCTAAGGGATGCCGGGTCTTGAGGAACAGGGAGTAGAGACACTGAACTGCTTTATATACTCACATCTGGGATCATCAGGTTGGACATGGGGTACTGTCTGGCTAACTAACATTTCCTGGCCCCCATGATTGCAGAGTTCCAGGTTCTACATCAGTACTTGGTTCTCTGAAATATGTGCTTAATTGGTGTCTCATGAGTATGGAATTAAAATCCATTTTACTGTTGTATTAACTTAGAAGGAACATAGCCTTGGTTTCCTTACTTAACTGTGTGAGCCACAAAGTAAGAAGATAACCATCTCCTTAAAAGCTGCTGTTTAGGTAGCTGCCTTCTGATGGATAAATCTTTTCCACAGATTTGGAAAGTAGCAAAGATGCATCTGTTTCATAATTACATGGTAGCTTTCCATCTAATGAATGCCTGTGTAGGCTGCTATATTAATCATACAAAGAGAATAGTAGAAGAAAGTTACTTTGTACTTATTTTTCAGGCTTTTCGTGTGTTCTCACTTCATTATTGTGGGGTTTCTGCAGACAGCATCCCTGTGGAAGACAGGTTGTCCTGCTTATTGTGGTGTGGCAGTGGCTTAAGGGAGAACTGGAGCCCTGACTTCACCCCCACCCCACTCTCTTTATTTGACCTGAGATTTTAAATAAAACAACTTGCATTTCAAGGTGAGTTAGCTTCTGATCTTAATACAACCTCTTTTCCTTCAGGAAAAAAAATGCTAAAATCAAGACAGGGTACAAGCGTGAGCACATTAACCTGGGCTGCGACATGGATTTCGACATTGCTGGGCCTTCCATCCGGGGTGCTCTGGTGCTGGGTTATGAGGGCTGGCTGGCTGGCTACCAGATGAATTTTGAGACTGCAAAGTCCCGAGTGACCCAGAGCAACTTTGCAGTTGGCTACAAGACTGATGAATTCCAGCTTCATACTAATGTGTAAGTGTGCTTAGGGCAGTGGTAGAGAGGAGGGCAGTGGTGGGGGGAGCCGGGGCTGGGGGCTGCTGTGTGTGTGGTAAGGGGATGCTTTTCATTATTATTTTTTTTAAAGGAAGTGCAATTTTTAATCACTGTAAAGTGAGTTTGTTGGCATCAGATGACCCAGAGGGCCTGATGCTATCTTTCTGTTTCCCACCTACCCATTTCCTGAAATGTCTTAGATCCTTTCCACTCTACAAACAGTAAATACTGCCACTGGTACAGAGTGGCTGATTAACTACATCAGGGACCTGGAACCAGTCCAGAGCGTGTTCTTTCCCTGCAGTTTTTGTTTTAGTTAACAAAACAGCTATCTTTCTCTGTCTAATGCTCGAGGTTTAGCCTGATAACAGGTAGACATGGTAGACAAATGTAGGAGCTGATTATCTCAGTTACAAAGTATCTTCTCCGTAGTGAAACTGTAAAAGTAACTATTGGACAGTATGGTGAAGGGAAACAGTGATTACAGGTTGGGAGAGAGTCCCTTGTAATCAAACTTGAGAATTGAAGTAGAGTGATGATTTAGGTTAAGGGAAACAGATTTCATTCATGAATCTTGTTTCATCCGTAAATCTTGTTTATTTAGTTTCATGAGGAATTAACCTGTGGCACAAGCTGGATGTGGAGTTACCAAGTTTATTTCCTTCCACTAGAGGTCACTAGAGAAGTAACTTCTTAACACAAATGATGTTAATGTGTAAACTAATATTATTTTCATTAATAAATTTTTTTGAGCAATTTTTATCATTACTTTGGAATCCGTTACAGCTAAAATGTCACAGGAAAACCATAGACATGGGCATTCTAGTGGTTGCCAGGGGGCGGGGAGGGTTTGACTATGAAGGGGTGACTAAGGGAGTTTGAGGGAGGGAACTGTCCTGACTATGGTCGTGGTTACATGAATCTGTGTACCTGTGTTAAAATTAATAGGAATGTTTACCAAGAAAATATCCATCTTATTGTATATTAATTATGAAAAGGTGAAACATACAAAAAAATTATAGGAAACATATCACATGGATAGAAATGTTTTTAAATGTAGAATTCTGATTGGCATGGGAAGTGTTTTCTTTGGTTTGAAATTGGGCATTGACACCAATTTTAGGAGGAACAATGGCTGTCAGCCGTTTCTTTCATATATCTAAGCTTCAACATTTTTAATAAGCAACAAGTGGGTATGGTTTATTTTTGGAACCAGCACGAAGAGCTGACACAGCTCATCTGCGTTGCCCTGGTGCTTGCAGGGGCCCAGATGCATAACGGAAAATCTTTGTGCTTCATGTAGATGAATTTGAACAGTTCCCCTGTTTATGGTTTTTTGTTTTGTTTTGTTTTGTTTTGAAGATAGGATCTCGCTCTCTCACCCAGGCTAGAGTACAGTGGCACAGTTTCTGCAGTCTCCACCTCCTGGGATCAAGTGATACTCCCACCTCAGCCTTGCAAGTAGCTGGGACTATAGGTGCACGCCACCACACCTGCCTAATTTTTGTAGTTTTTTTAGAGACAGGATTTTGCCATGTGGTCCAGGTTGTTTTTGAACTTGTGAACTCAAGCAATTGGCCTGCCTCAGCCTCCCAAAGTGCTGGGATTACAGGCGAGAGCCACTGTGCCTGGCCTCTGTTTATGGTTTTGAAAGCTCTGTACAGGAAGGCAGTATTGTGTTGCTGGTTTTAAGATATTCTGAAAAGTTTGGCCTTTTAAAAACATGTAAGTCCAAGAAACTTTCCCACTTGAATATATTACTAAAGTCTTTCAGAAACCTGTTATTTTTTTTGACAGGCTGCTGTTTTGTTGTAGCATACTTGGGCTGTTTAAAGAAGACAGGATTCCCTGTGAATTAGGCAGTGCGTGGGTCTCCCTGTACTTTCTGGAATTATAATGTCTGTCTAGCCAAATTTCATGGGGAAATGAGAATTTTGTAATGTGTGGCTCACACTTGTAATCTCAGCTATTTGGGAAGCCGAGGCAGGAGGATCCCTTGAGGCCAGGAGTTTGGGACCAGCCTGGGCAACATAGCAATCCTCTGTCTCTAAGAAAATTTTTAAAAATTAGCTGGGCATGGTGGCAACATGCCTGTGATCACTTGAGCCCAAGAGTTTGAGGTTGCAGTGAGCTATGATTTTGCCATTGCTCTCCAGTCTGGGCAACAGAGCAAGATCCCATCTCTGAAAAAAAAAAAAAGAAAGAAAATTTAGAATGTATTATCTAATTTAGGGAGAGTGTCTGGTGAAGACTAGAGTTTTTGTTTTTAGGTCTAGAAGCCCTTTGCTGGATTCCAAAGTACATGGGCTCTGACTCGCAGTTACCAATGCCATTTCCACTGGAAATGCCCATAGTGCTGGGGCAGAACTCAGACACTGATTTTATGTTAAAGATGTTTGAGAGGGTCTAGGCAGACTTGAAGTCCATATGATGCAAGGAAGATGGCCATTCCTTTTTTAAAAATTACAGCAATAAAATTTTTCTTAAAGGAGTCTGAGCCCATAGTTTTTAAAATCAGACAGTACAGATGAGCTTATGAAAAGCAGTGATTCCAACCTGCCTCAGCCTGGTCCTCCCAGCTCTCCAGTGGCAGCCACCTGAACTGTTTTTGTTTTCTATGGTTTCCTCTGTAGCGAAGGTTGCTTCTGACCAGGCACTGGTATGCACTGTGCGTATAAACAACAATCTGAAAGCAGTAATGAGAGGCAGTATATGATCTGTGCAGACCCCAGCCTGACAGAGGACAAAGTGTAGATTCTCTGAGCGCTTCATATGCTTTTTTAGTGGTAACAGTGACTGCATGGTTTGTATAGGCTGTTTAGCCAGGTGGGGCAGACTTCCAAATTCTGAGCGCTTAAGCAGGGCCCCCAAAGAGGAAGAGGAGGATTTAAATGACTGGAGAGAGGAAAGGGATATTCCCAGCAACTGGAGTCATTCCGTGTATTTGGAAGAGAGCAGAGAGCTTGGCCAGCTGGGGTTTCATTCTGAATGTTTTTGAAAGAGGGAGACATTTTACGATGTAGTGAAAAAGCTCCCTCAGTCCTGCTGGAACTGTGGATGTTGCAGCATGGATGAGCAGTATGCACAGGTGGACAAATTGAATTGTGAATTAAGCTCTTGAATTGCTGCTCCTCCAAGAGGCTGGGTCAGTGTCAACTCTATCCCCCCAGCAGTCGCTGCAGCAGGTTGTGCCAAGGGCTCTAACTTGACTTCTGAGGCATATGCCCTGCCTTTCTTGCCATTTCTGGTGGTGGTCTCATTTTTTTCTTTTTCCATATCATTTTTTTTTTAAGCCAGAGTCTCACTCTGTCGCCCAGACTGGAGTGCAGTGGTGTGATCTCAGCTTACTGCAACCTCTGCATCCTGGGTTCAAACGATTCTCCTGCCTCAGCTTTTTCGGTTGCTGGGATTACAGGTGCCCGCCACCACGTCTGGCTAATTTTTATGTTTTTAGTAGAGACAGGGTTTCGCCATATTGGTCAGGCTGGTCTCAAAGTCCTGACCTCAAATGATCTGCCCACCTTGGCCTCCCAAAGTGCTGGGATTATAGGTGGGAGCTACCATGCCTAGACTTCCATACCATTTTTATGGTAGAATCATTTATAAAAGTAATAATATCAGTAGCAGTAAAAACTAAATCACTCAGAATCTCACTGCTCTACTTGCTGCTGCTTTTTTTCCTTATAGAGACGGAGTCTCGCTGTGTTGCCCGGACTACATCCTGGGCTCAAGCAATTCTCCTGCCTCTGCTTCCCAAAATGCTAGGATTACAGGCATGAGTCACTGCTTACTTCCTCTCCCCCGGTTTTTTATGTTTCTTTTTTTTTTATGAGACAAGGTCTTGCTCTGTCACCCAGGCTGGAGTGCATGGTGCAGTCTAGGCTCACTGCAACCTCCACCTCCCAGGTTCAAGCGATTCTTCTGCCTCAGCCTCCTGAGTAGCTGGGATTACAGGTATGTGCCACCAGCCTGGCTAATTTTTGTATTTTTAGTAGAGACAGGGTTTTGCCATGTTGGCCAGGCTGGTCTCGAACTCCTGGCCTCAAGTGATCTGCCCATCTCGGCCTCCCAGAGTGCTGGGAGTACAGGTGTGAGCCACTGTGTCTGGCCAGGTGCGTGTTTCATTCTTACTAGGCTTCCTGTAATTGAGTATCTGTTTTGTGAAATTTGGTAAACTTCTGACTTCCTCTAGTACCAGTATTGGTTCAATCCATTTCTGGCATCCTGTTTATTGGGAGACTTGGGTAGATCTGTCTGGGCTGCAGCTCTCCTCCCTGGGAAGCTCAGCATCTGTGCTCTGCTCATTGCAGGAATGACGGGACAGAGTTTGGCGGCTCCATTTACCAGAAGGTGAACAAGAAGTTGGAGACCGCTGTCAATCTTGCCTGGACAGCCGGAAACAGTAACACGCGCTTCGGAATAGCAGCCAAGTATCAGATTGACCCTGACGCCTGCTTCTCGGTAGGTATCTGTGGAATCACGCATCTCATAGGCCCATCTGCTACTTAGGTTGGAATCCTTCAGGTTTGCTGGAATGCTGTGCTTCAGCTTACTTGAAGTGAGAGATGCGGCTGGGCGCGGTGGCTCATGCCTGTAATCCCAGCATTTTGGGAGGCCAAGGCGGGCAAATCACTTGAGGTCAGGAGCCCTGGCCAACATGGTGAAACCTTGTCTTTATTAAAAATACAAAATTTAGCTGAGTGTGGTGGTGTGTGCCTGTAATACCAGCTACTCGGGAGGCAGGCAGGAGAGTTGCTTGAACCAGGGAGCTGGAGGTTGCAGTGAGCTGAGATCGTGCCACTGCACTCCAGCCTGGGTGACAGAGTGAGACTCCATTTCAAAAAAAGAAAAAAAAGACTCCATCTCAGAAAACAAAAACAAAATGGGAGACATTGTCACTTTGAAAAGAGTTCCAAATGAGTACAGTGATCAAAGTATTAGTACTTCTTACGGGTATCAGGCACTCTGCAGAGCCTTTTATGAAGACTACTGTGTTTAATCCCATTTGAAATAGGTGCTTTGTTTTTTTGTTTTAAATTATCTCTGGGTTTTTAAACTTTTTGTTTTTGAGACAAGGTCTTGCTTTGTTGCCCAGGTTGATGTAGTGGTGTGATTATAACTCACTGCAGCCTCAACCTCCTGTGCTCAAGTAATCCTGCCACCTCAGCCTCCCAAGTGGCTGGGACTACAGGCACACCACCATGCCTGGCTAATTAAAAATAATTTTTTAGGCTGGGCACGGTGGCTCACGCCTGTAATCCCAGCACTGTGGGAGGCTGAGGCAGGTGGATCATGAGGTCAAGAGATCAAGACCATCCTGGTCAACAAGGTGAAACACCGTCACTACTAAAAATACGAAAAAATTAGCTGGGCATGGTGGTGTGCGCCTGTAGTCCCAGCTACTCGGGAGGCTGAGGCAGGAGAATTGCTTGAACCCACGAAGCAGAGATTGCAGTGAGCCGAGATCGTGCCATTGCACTCCAGTCTGGGTAACAACAGCAAAATTCCATCTCAAAAAAAAATAAATAAATAAAATTTTTTTAGCAGAGATAACATCTCTCTGTGTTGCCTGGGCTAGTCTCAAACTCCTGGCTCAAGCTGTCCTCCCACCGCAGCCTCCCAAAGTTTTGGGATTACAGGAATGAACCATGCCTGGCCAATCATCTCTGTTATTTATTTATTTTTTCTTTTTTTGAGATGGAGTCTCCCTCTGTTATCCAGGCTGGAGTGCAGTGGCATGATCTCGGCTCACTGCAACTTCCACCTCCCTGGTTTAAGTGATTCTCATGCCTCAGCCTCCCATGTAGCTGGGACCACAGGCACCCGCCACCACACTCAGCTAATTTTTGTATTTTTAGTAGAGATGGAGTTTCAGCATGTTGGTCAGGCTGGTCTTGAACTCCTGACCTCAGGTGATCTGCCTGCTTTGGCCTCTCAAAGTGCTGGGATTACAGGCGTGAGCCATTGCACGCAGCCAGTCATCTGTGTTTTTACAAATGAGGAACTAGAAGGTTAGAGAGGTTGAGTAACTTGTCCAAGGGTACACAGCAGGAAGTTGCTTGGGACTGGATTTGAGCTAGACTGGCTTACTGTTGAGTCTCTTCCATTAATACCAATTCCTTTTCTATAATGCAGACTGTTAAGCACTTTGAAATTTAGGGTGCTAAATGATAATTTCCCACCTCACATTTCATTTTTCTGTTCAACTCCTGCATTGCCTATTAATAAATCAGTAGTCAGTTGGCATCTTGCAGACTCTCTTGCATTGCTCACAGGCCCTCAAACTACTTCACAGGTTTTGCAGTAAATCCTGTTGGGCTCATTTCTGTTGTCACAGGGCACTGGAGGCTGTACCTCTTTAGGGTGGAATGAGGAAATCTCATGTTGTAGAATGGTTTCTGTACTGGTTTGTGTAATTGATGGACAGCCCACTTTAAGTCTCCTGAACTAGAACCAAATTTGGCTCTCTTAAGAGCAGGCACTTAAAAACAAGAGAAAAGGGGCACTGGCCCCCAAGAGGCCTTCCTCCTCTCTGCTTTGTTCTTATGAGGGGTTTCAGATCTCAGAACACCATTTGAACAGGAAAATATGCACCTAAAATTGGTATCTTTTGTGTTGAATTTAATGAATCTCATGAACAAGATGGTCATAAAAAAATTTGATTCTGAAGTCCAAGGTTGGTTGACTAAAAAGCTCTTACTGATTTTGGAGATGGAATTGCAAAGTGTTAAACGTAATGTTTTCTCTGTTTTGTCATTTCCTTGACTAGGCTAAAGTGAATAACTCCAGCCTGATAGGTTTAGGATATACTCAGACTCTAAAGCCAGGTATGTGTTGCTTGTGTGTGAAATTGGTTCTTTGTTTTAAAAAAAATTGTGGTGCTGGTTTGCTGATTTATGTCATAGTAAAATGTTTGTATAATACAGTGGGTATATAATAAATGGGTATATAAAGTTGTATAATTAAATGTTTATAAAGGAGTATGGATGATTATAAAACATTTAGAGAATATGAGATGTAGCAAGTAGGAGAAAAAGGCTGAGGCTAACATATATTCTCTGCTATTTTCTTCCATCCTTTTTTCCAGTGTGTATATAATGCCTGATACTTATTTCTAGCAAATTCTCAAAACTAACTTATAAATCAGCCCCATTGTAAAAAGACAAATAGGAAAAGTGGTTTGCAGGTTTCCTCTGCACAGTAAGCTAGGCCAGTCCATGGTGTATTATAGTTCTAGGGTGTAATATCACCTTTGAACCGTGGAAACCTAAGATTACCAGCTACTCCCTGAATCAGGTTATTTCAGGGAAGGTCAGTTTGTTGTACGTGTGTGTACACTATGAACCTGAAAATGTCATCCCTTAGGTTGGATTCAGGATTGAGGTTTCATTTAAAGAGATGATTGCTAAAGAAGCTTACTGCATGCTGCCAGTGCTAGAGACTAATTATACCAGAGGAACAGTGGGAGGAAAAAGGAAAGTGGGGTTTCAGAAGTAGATTTGGGTAGGCTCTCTGGGCAGCAGGATAATTATAGTTGTTTTATAAGCTCACTGTAGGATACTCGTTAGTCAGATAGTGTTAAGTAACAAGGATTGAAGGGCCATGTAGTTTGGACCCTGCTGATAATACCTGGAACAGGTTCTGAATTTGGTGTTAACCTTTCTTTTCTCCATTCCTCCTCCTTTCCTCTCCCTGATTTTTCTCCCTGCAGGTATCAAACTGACACTGTCAGCTCTTCTGGATGGCAAGAACGTCAATGCTGGTGGCCACAAGCTTGGTCTAGGACTGGAATTTCAAGCATAAATGAATACTGTACAATTGTTTAATTTTAAACTATTTTGCAGCATAGCTACCTTCAGAATTTAGTGTATCTTTTAATGTTGTATGTCTGGGATGCAAGTATCGCTAAATATGTTAGACCTCCAGGTTAAAGATGATTCAGCTTTAAGATGTTACCCTTTCGGAGGTACAGAAGAAACCCATTTCTGAAAAAGGTCCTTTCAGTGGTAGACTTGGGGGGAACTTGGGAGCCCCTTTGAGATGCCAGGTTTCTTTTTTATCTAGAAATGGCTGCAAGTGGAAGCTGATAATATGTAGGCACTTTGTAAATTCATATTGAGTAAATGAATGAAATTGTGATTTCCTGAGAATCGGACCTTGGTTTCCCAACCCCAGTTTATGAGAGGCTCGCTGCTTGGTGGTGTGTACAAACTCACTTGAATGGGACTTTTTAAGATAGATCTTCATGACCTGTTCCCACCCCAGTTCACCTCTTTTGCACCAAAAGGTCTGCAGGGCGTGGTCACTGTTTCTTTTGTGCCATTTTGGGGTGGAGAGGGTGGATGTGATGAAGCCAATAATTCAGGACTTATTCCTTCTTGTGTTGTGTTTTTTTGCCCTTGCACCAGAGTATGAAATAGCTTCCAGGAGCTCCAGCTATAAGCTCGGAAGAGTCTGTGTGATTGTAATCACATGGTGACAACACTCAGAATCTAAATTGGACTTCTGTTGTATTCTCACCACTCTGTTTTTTTTTAGCAGTTCAATGGGTACATTTTAGAGTTTTCCATTTTGTGTGGAATTAGATCTTCCCCTTCAAATGCTGTAATTAACATCACTTAAAAGAAACTTGAATAAAATATTGAAACTTCATCCTTCTTCTGTTGTCTTTATTAATAAAATATAAATAAACAGGGCATTTGTTGATATTTGTTTTTTGTCTCCATGCCCTTTATGTGTATTATATGTTATTTGTTTTCACTTGCTGTATAACAAATTACCATAAAATTAGCAGCTTAAAACACGAATTTATTGCACAGTTCTGCAGGTCAAAGCCAGGCAGGCATGCATGCCTGGGCACTGCTTAGGTTCACACATTGCTGAAATTGGGGTGTCCACCAGGCTGTCTTATTTTATCTAGGGGTTTGGCATCCTCTTCCAGGCCCACAGGGTTGTGGTGGAATTCAGTTATTTTCAGTTGTAGGATAGAGGTCCCTGTTTCTTTGTTGGCTGAGCCACTCTCAGTGCTTAGAGGAAGACAGCATTCCTTGCCACGTGGTCCCCTCCATCCCCAGAGCCAGAAACAGAAAAACTCCCTCATGTGAAATCCCTCTCACACTTCAGTCTCCTACAGGAAGAGCCTCAACCCTTTTAAGGACTCGCCTGATCAGGTTAGGCCCACCGAGGGTAATCTCCCTTTCTTAAAGTTAACTGCCAGGTAAAGTAACCTAATCACTGGTGATATACTTTCATATTTGCAGGTCCCTCCATGTGGTTCATGGGGAGGGGTGATTTTTGAATTCTCCCACATATTTATATATTTTAAATAACTTGATTGTGGAGATTTCAAACACAATAGTAATGAACTCCATGCATGATTCAGCTTCAACAAATATGAACATTTTTTTCTATACATGATTTTTTGGCAGAATTCCTTTTTTTCTGTTTGAAAGTGACATTCAAAATAGGAACCATCTACTTTTAGCATTTTATGCAACTGATCATCCAAAAACTGTGGGCCTCAGTAATTGGTCATAGCGTCTTCAGGTTTATAAGGACTTACAGCTATTTCTAAGTCAGTGTTCACTGAACCTGTCCAGAGATTATGGCACATAGTGGTTGATGGGAACAACTACTCAGATGTCAGGTACAGTATTAAAATGTTTTATTTTTTATTAAAAAAAATTATGACGGAGTATTGCTCTGTTGCCCAGGCTGGAGTGCAATGGTGTGGTCTTGGCTCATTACAACCTCCGCCTCCCAGGTTCAAGCGATTCTCCTGGCTCAGCCTCCTGAGTAGCTGGGATTACAGGTGTCTGCCACCATGCCCGGCTAATTTTTGTATTTTTAATAGAGATGGGGTTTCACCATATTGGTCAGGCTGGTCTCGAACTCCTGACCTTGTGATCCATCCACCTTGGCCTCCCAAAGTGCTGGGATTACAGGCGTGAGCCACTGTGCCTGGCCTAATTTTTGTATTTTTACTAGAGATGGGCTTTCACCATACTGGCTTGGCTGGTCTTGAACTGACCTCATGATCCACCTGCCTCGGCCTCCCAAAGTGCTGGGATTACAGGTGTGAGTCACTGTGCCCACCCAAAATATTTTATTTCTAGAGACAGAGTCTTACTTTGTCACCCAGAGTGAAGTGCAGTGGCATCATCATAGCTCACTGCAGCCTTCAACTCCTGGACTCCAGAGATCCTCCTGCCTTAGCCTCCTGACTAGCTGTGATTACAGGCATAAGCCACCATGCCTGGCCCTAAAATATTTAAAAATGTATAAAGGGTTCTGTTGAGTATGAGGGAGTATTTCCCTCACTAGTTACTTATTGTCTGCCTGTTGTATGCAGCATGTTGCAATATCATTGTGCAAAATGCCTTGAGGTCATAATATCTCACCAGTTAAGAGAATTGAGACAATCTGGTATGAGGACACAAATGGACAAAGTGGACAATAAGTCAGGGAAGAGGGCCGCAATATGTTTATTATAGATGAACTTTTAAAGTCAACAAGCAGAACTAAGATTGAGAAAATCATTTGTTAAACTGAGTGGTTTTACAGAAAACTTGAGTACAGCTCAGAGAAGTGAAGTCCTGGGGAACTGGGAGGACTTTGCACCTTGGCTAAGGTGGAGGGTTTGCAATAAGGGCACCATTCAGTCTATATGGGCTTGTGGGGGATTTCAGGAAATGTGCAGATGAATGACTTCTTAGTTTTCTTAACACAGAGTTTGTGTGTTTCTGAGCTGTCAGCAGGGTGAAATAAAAGCTTAGGGGAAACCAGATTCAGGAGTAGAACACAGGCCCTTTAGAGAGGCAGCTCAGCTGTGTCTCGGGGGACAGCAGCAACCTTCCGAGGGAATTATAGAGACCAGAGTGGTGAAGCTGTGGGCACAATAAATGTCTTGCTTAACATCACTCTGAATTTCCTAAAATTGATCAAATGGAACTTTTATGATTTGAAGCCTGTATCTGTTTATTAAGGAAACATTCACAGAACGTACACACAGAGCAAAGTATGGCGCCAGGGCCCAAAGTGAATTTCACCTTCTTGGAAGTTTATATAACTTTGCATTTTTATATACCGGGATTTGAAGTAACAAAATTTAACAAGAGAAGCTTAGGAAACCTGGAAGTTATTTTCAATGGCAGCCCCTCACCCCTACTTCCTAGCCACCTTTCTTTTCCTCCATAATTAAACAAAATTTTTTTAAAATTATTTTTGAGATGGTCTCTCTTTGTCGCCCAGGCTACAGTGCAGTGGCCAGATCTCAGCTCACTGCATCCTCCACCTCCTGGGTTCCAGCGATTCTACCTCAGCTTCCCGAGTGGCTGGGATTACAGGCAGGCACCACCACGCCCGGCTACTTTTTGTATTTTTAGTAGGGATGGGGTTTCTCCATGTTGGCCAGTCTGGTCTCAAACTCCTAACCTCAAGGCCCGCCTTGGCCTCCCAAAGTGCTGGGAGCCACTGCACTCGGCCGGTGCATAATCCCTTTATCATCTTGTATACATTGTATTTTACACCATAGTCGTCCTCACAAGACAATAAACTACAAAGGCAGGGAGGTTCGTTTTGTTCACTGCTGTATCTTTAATAGGGAGAGGTGCTAAAACTTCATTGAAAAAAAATGATTGTGGGGAAAGATTTTTAAAAATTACTTATAATCCATCACCCATTAGATAGGACTAAATAACATTTGTGTTTCTTTCGCCTTTGAGAGAGGAAAAGCAGTTACTTCACTTTTGTGATCAGTCTATTCTAAAGCTGGATCTTCCTTTTACAAATGGCTAAAAATGCCTTTTTTTTTTGTATAGTACCCAATCATGCAGGCGGCAGGGCAGGGAGGGGCTCGCTTTGGCCCTCTTCAGCACCTTACACCCTACCTTTAACCCGCAGCCAAGTGTGTGGCGTTCCTCACACTCTCCCAGCTGCAACTCCCACCTCTGTGCAATCCTTCCTTTTCATTCTGGTTTCTAGAGCACGTCTCCAGGCCTCGACGTCATCACGCTAGGACGTAAGTGCGGAGGCCTCGGCGTCTGACGTCATGGCGTAGAGCCTAGCAACCGCGCAGGCTCCCAGCCGAGTCCGTTATGGCCACTGCAGCCCTGAGGAGGATGAGGGGGCCCACACAAGCGAAACTGCTGCCAGGGTCGACCATCCAAGCCCTTGCGGGGCTGGCACGGCCGCTGGTCTTGGCGCTCCTGCTTGTGTCCGCCGCTCTATCCAGTGGTAAAGGGGGCGCGGCGGCAGTGCGGGCTTAGGAACCTGGGAGGGCTCGGGCGCGGGCCAGGAGATAGGCTGGGCCAGGGAAAGGGCGCTTCCGAGTGTCATGACGGAGCAGACGGAGGTGTTTGTTTGGGTCAGGGTCTTCGCGGGCCTGAGGACGGAGGGTATGGTGTCTGAAGGGGTCCAAGGTCTGAAGAGTCCCCAAGGAGCCTGAGAAGTGGGGTCCCTGAGAGATGGAGGATCCCAAGGAGCAGGGCGGGGAGGGAGGAGTGGTGTTGGCGCTTAGAGATTGTTGAAGAATGGGCTGCTACAAGGAATGGCGGTGGTGGGGTCTCCAAAATTTCTTGGATCGGAAAGTTAGGAGGTTCTAGAAGAGAGAGTAGCGACAGGGGCGGAGGAGATGGCCGGGGCTAGAGGGTGTGGTGTCTGGAAAGGGTCCTGAGGTGGGGGGGACTCAGGAATCTAGCAGGACCAAGGAAAGGTGGGGATTTTCCGGAATGGAAGAGGTCAGTGGTAAAGTCCGAGGCAGGCAGGGGCAATAACCCAGTGACCAGACTGAGCCAGTGGAATATTTCCAGGAGGGAAAGTGAAACGGAAAGAGCTGTCTTCTGGTACTGGTGCATATTTGAGGTCTGGGAGGTTGTGGTGTTTGATAAAGATTCAGAATATGGGGCGTTGGGCCTCTGAGAGCTTGGGAGCTGGAGAGGAGTTTGGGGACAAGGGAGATCATGATTCCTCTTCCCTATGTGTTCTGAGTTAACCAGAATAACTCTGCCTCATTTTAATAGATCTTTGGGATTTGATTGATAAAAGGTTTCATTTCTTGCAAATGTTGCATGGCGAAATCAAGAGATTGTAAGGATTAAACAGTATTTTGTTTAGTAGTCTCATTTTTCTTTCAGGCCAACACAATCCTGCGTTTCTCCCTAAATTTGAGTTTTTAGCTGCAAAACAGTGTGACCTGGTACAGTGTTTTCTTTCTTGCCGGTAGGGCCTGTGTAGCCCTACATTCCTCTGCTACAGTACTGTGGGTACATACGTATGTTTTCTCAGCAACATTTCAGTGTTGGTAGCTGGACTGCCCTCCCAGAAGTCTTTGCAGTCTCTGAGGAAGGACTGCTGTCCATTTCCCAAGGCCCTTTCATCGTTAATAAAGTGTAATGAAGATTTCCCTGGTTGATGCAGATATTCCTGTTCCTGAAGTACTTAAGTAACTTAATTGTTTTGGCCATTTAATCATCTAAGAAAAATACAACACAAACTTTATATTTCCTGCTGGAATGCTTAAGGAATATATATCTGGCAACTGTAGTTTCAGAAACAGCTTTTCCCCCTAAGAGAGGGTTGAAAATCGCATGGGTAAGCAGCGAGGGAGAATGTGGAGTATTAAGTGTCCTTTAGTTTCTGCTTTTATTTGTTAG